AACATAGGGGACCCAAATATAGTACCCTAAGTAATAGGATCCTTAGTCTAAGGAGGGTACCCTAATTTTCGGAAACTCCCATTTTGCAAGAGCTAACGTGAACCCAGTACATCCGAGCGGCCACATCTTTGCAAAAGCTCCCTAATCTCTGAACATCGGACCTTCACAGCAGCCCGAACGCCGAACACTCCCTAGGAGGGCGCGAAAAGCCCTGAGCATCTAGCCCGAAGCCACAGCCGGCGAGACCAACGCAAGCTTCAAGGTCCGAGCCTGCTGAACCCCAAGCACCCCAAACCCCAAAGCCTCAGCCCCATCCCCCCAAAGATCATTGTTGTACAACCTCCCCCCAAACCCTATTCTTATCATTCAGGCCCCTATCTTGCCCAAAGAAGGCCCACACCCTGAACCCCCAACCCTAAAACTCCAATCCAAAAACCCTGTCATACTAAACCCCAAACCCTACACCCTAGAAAGGCCTCTCCCCTTGCTGAAGGAGGGAGTTGGCTTTGCATCCTTTTACCCAAGGTTAGGGTTTAGGGTTTTGGGATCAGAATATAGAGGGTGTCTTTAAAGGCCGAGGGTTCTTGGGTCTCTGGTTCTCGATGACATTAGGCTTGAAAACCTTGCGGCTGTGGCTGGCTTTGGTTTCTATGGTTTGGGTTTAGATTGAAGCTTAGGGCTTCAGCTTGGGGGTTTAGATGGCTTTAGTCTTTGGGCCTCAGGGCCTGTTGCGATGTTGCGCTGCAGTGTCCAATGTGTCGAGTGCTCTACGCCACGCGAGGTGTAGCAATGGCCCGACCACGGAGGGCTGTCCTACGCCGTCTACAGCGGCCACATTAACCTGATCCTTTCAGGGCTGCAGAGGTTTGGACACATGTTCTGATGCATCTTCTACGCAGCAATGTGAGGAAATCCTGCATGCATGGCCAACCTGCCAAACCTTGAATGAAATTTGAAAAACAGTACGGCCTGCAAGAAGCTAGGGCCTTGGGCAGGATACTTGGAGAGGGACTAGAAGCAAAACAGTATGACTAGTTATTCCGCCCCGTACACCACCTGAGAGCTAGGATTAGGGGGACCCTTGGGGATATAGACCGTCTCAATAAGTTCCCTTTTAAGAGAGCCAAACGTAGGGTTCAGAAGGGGTGCCCTTTAAGGGGTACCCCTAATAATACTACCTGCCATCTGAAGCCCACCTTCTTCATGATGACGTCGGCGCAACTGCTCCAGATCTGCTTCGTCATCTCGCAATCCTTGGCAGACGGTTGAGCGGTAAAACGGTTTTCGGTTTAGGGTTTAGGGTTCAGGGTTTAGGGTTTAGGGTTTAGGGTTTGCTTTGTGGCTTAAGGGTTTGTGGATAAAGGGGCCCCAAACTTCCAGAAACCCTGAATCCTGAACCCCGAACCCCCGAGCTTCCCGGAAGAGTCTCGAGATTCGGGCGAAATTCCTGGGCTTACGTTGGGCACGAAAGTTTTAGGACTTGACGTGCGGAAGTTGCTCTTTGGGTTTGACAAGAAAGTTTGGACGAATGACGCAGCGGGAGCTTGCTCGCAACAGAAGGAAGGGGTCAACTGTGGTGGGCTGTAGCGAGAACATGAAAACCTGAGCTGAACAGAGCTGTCTCCAGTCGAGTGCTGCGCTGCACTCCCAAATTCCGCGGTACTGTACTGCTGCTTACAGCTACCATCACCTCTGTTCTCACACGACCGTTGGCATAGAATATCGGAACATGGGTGTTGCTGTCGTTGCAAGGCTTGCAAGCATCGCATGCTGTCACGATGACCTCGGCAACTGCTGCTGCTGCTGCTGCTGCCGCTACTGCGACGATCACGACGACGGCTTACCAACAACACCGTCAGCATCATCATCTCCATCCTATTCGTCGTGCCAGCCCGATCACCATCACGATCATATAGGGGCCTTACTAATTTGAGTACGGTTTTGGGGTGTATAGATATAGGAATGAATATATATATATATATATACATACATGCTCTAGGCCCCTATAATGACTATCATACAGCAACATATGGGGCCTTACATAGTATTGGTAATCATTAAGCCCCTATAAGTAACAACGATCATCAAGGCACTCGGACCAACACCCTAAACCCTGAACCCTTAGACCCTAAAACCCTAAACCC